AATCCCTGAAAAACAACTGCATCATTTCCAAATACTTTTATAAGGTCGTAAAATTTTAACAATTGAGTGTTTCATTTCTCAGATTCATTCCCAGCTCCTCTGTCCAGCAGCTCATGGTCTATAAGCAAATGCTTAAGTTAACTGGGAATCGTGGTATTAAAAGAGCTCCCAGATGCATATTTACTCTACACAGATGCACAGCACATCAGACTCACCAGGGTGGAGGGGGGGAGTTTTGAATAATCCTGTGCAAATTGTAGTGTCTAAATATAGACAGAAATGTACAAGGATTATCAAGTGGAGGGAGGCATAGCTACTTTGGCATTAATATGGAGCCTTTGTATTTGGAAAAGAGTTGGGAACTTTTGGCCTAGGGCATAGTGAAAGAGGAGGATGATTTTAAGCGATTGACACAATAACAATAAATTATTAGTGAGCCAATTCTTTTCCAGTCTTTATTATCTCCAGAAGTCTTGTTAGGTGCTAATATGCCTCTATCGCCTGTCCAACACTTGCTGGACTTCTTTGTAACTTAGTGCAGGCCTTGGGCTCAGATCATTGGCAAGCAGCAGATCACTAGAATTATAAAGTCTTCTCTTTCTGTCTTGTTGCCATGGTATTTGCTGTTGTGGTTCTCTCCCATTATGGCTAGTAATACTAGTTTTCTATTTGTGAGTATTGAAACATAGTTTCCTTTTAAATAAGTCTAAATTTAAAAGAAGTGAGGCAATTTAATGAAAATAATTAAGTGAATAATAGTAGAGGTGGTGAACAAACAGGGCAAAAATTATGAAAGTGATACCAGGAAACAGCTGGTAAATAATGTATGGGAGGGGCTGGACTGGAGAGTCTCAACATATGGTACTGTGAATCACTTGACAAAACAGAGGATCACTGGGTACTTCACGACCATTTCTTCTCCATTTTTAACTGCGGTAAATTCAGAGCAGTGTATATACAGATCGCTAGAACTCAGACACATAATTGGTTTGCTTGGATATAACAATATAGAACAAGCTTCAGAAACAAATCGTAATAGTAGCATAACTCTCATGATTTTATACTCCTCACAATTTGCAGAGGACTTTCCCATACATTGTAGCATTTGGACGAGTCAACACTAGAATATTTAAGTTCTAATCCCTTCTCTCTTCAAAGTGCTGTGTGACCCGAAGCCAGTTACTTAACCCTCCAGAGTCTTCATTCCTTCCACTTCGGCTCAGTGCCAAGGTTTTAAGTGAGCCAGCAGCTGGGTGACCAGACTGCAAATACCTTACTGCAGACATACAGGTTAGAATAACCAGAAGACTCTTCAGCTTTGGGGAGGATTCTGGTATTAAATGGCATGTTATGCTAATAGCAAATGGTATGGGATAATTTGGGGCGAATTCATTCTCCCACTATACTGCCTAATAGGATTCAGGCTTATGAGAGAGGCCTAAGGGCAAGAGATTGCTTGTGCTCCAGGAACTGCTGGGAGGAAGTACTATGTTCCCAAATCTTATTATCAGAGAGGAGGGGCTGGAGGGAGTACGGGAGCTTATGAAAGTGTCTTAACTGCCACTCCTAGAGAGGCTCTAGAAGTGAATTATAACAGCAGAAAAGTCATAAATCACTAGTTGCATGCCTGTGGTCCCCTCTGCCCACACCAGAGCCACATAGCAGCCATGAGTCTGGTGCTGAATGGAGAAAACTGTGGGCCGTGGGAAGCACCTGGGAGGGCTTTCCAGCCATGTGGGGTCCATGGTGCAGCAGAAAGCCATGTGAGACAAGGAGCAGCCTCAGACCTGCTCAGAAGTGCTTCAAACACACACACACACACACACACACACACACACACACACACACACCACATACATACACCACGCCAAAGAGAAAAACAATGTATTGAGTGCTTACTGTGTTCTAAGAACAGTCCTAGGTATTTTTAACTGTGCTACCTCAGTTATTCCTTGTGCAAAAAAATTCCTTGACAGGTAAGAAAACTAAAGCTCAGACAGGTTAAGTAACTTTTCCAAGGTGACACAGCTAATAAATGACTAAGACAGGGTGAATCCCAAATCATCTGTTCTTTTCACTCTTTTACACTATTCTGTATTATATTTCACAGTACATTTCAAAAACAAACACATGCAATATGCACATCACAGACATAAATCTATAGAAGTATTTTACACGTTCACACCCTATATCCCATTTATACATACACCTCACATATGCACACAAAAATGCCCATACTAAATGCCATTCTTGACATACATACACATGAACACAGAAATTCACATTTTGTACATACAAACCTATGTGACCCAATCCTCTATGTATCTGCAAACACCCCCATGCACACTCTAATCCCCACATACATCCATACACAATCATCCATCTGTATACATAACACATATATACAATCATACCTAGAAACCCACCCACATCACACAAACTCACCTACATCCGTAGACACACACAAAGAAACTAGTGCATTTGTTCCTCACCCTGTCCATCAAAATTAGCTCCCCAGGATATGAGGAAGGATCTTCAGATTATTAAGCAAGAGTGTCTAAATACTCCTAGACTACCTTCTGAATCTTCAAAGCAATACCAGATTGCTTTCAGTATTTTCCATTACTGTGTATAATAGTCTAATTATTTTAAAATTGTTAATCCATGTATAAATATGTATGAGCATTTTTTACTAGCCAGAATATTTGATTAATTAAAGTAGCACATTATTCATTCATTCATTCATTCACTGTGCAATTACTGAGCACCAATTAAGTGTGAAACACCATGGTAGACACAGTGGGGAATGAAAGAACAAACAAACAAATAATAAATAAAACCACCATGATTCCTGCTCTTAAAACACAAACTCAGATAACTACGTCAGCACCTGATGAGTGAGCTTGTGGGGGATGGGGGTGTGGGGGATCAAGGAGACAAGATGACAAGATGGCTCTGAGGCTTCTAATCCTAGAGAGTGGAAGTATATTGAAGTCGTCTGGAGAAACAGGTCTGGAGGAGCAAGTCTGGGAAGGAAGCTGTAGTGTTCAGTTTGGGGGATATAGTTGAGGCACTAGCAGAACATTGAGATAAATGTGTCCCTCAGGTGTTTGCAAATGAGGAAGGGGGTTTTAAGGAAGAGGCCAGTGTGGTGACAGATTTGAGACTCATCCATTATTAACTGATTGCTTAAATAGTTACAACTGATGAGACCAGAAAAGAAGCTGAGAGGAAGAACGAGACAGGTTGGGTACAAATCCTTGGGGAATATTATGTGCTGCTTGACGAGGTGACAGAAGCTTCCATCTTACACACACATGCACACACACACACACACACACACACACACACGTCTCTATGTATTTCCTCCAACATTCCAGCCCCACAAGCACATGTCAGAGCTGCTCATGACTCCTAGCTATCTATCTCCTGGATATAATTTCAGTACCAGCAAACCTCAATTGCCCAAAGCAACCCAAAGTAGTGTTCTTCAACCCCTTAGCCTCCAACACTGACTCTTATTGAAATCTATATGCTTTAAGAGCTTGGTGTGGCAATTCCTCAAGGATCTAGAACCAGAAATACCATTTGGCCCAGCAATCTCATTACTGAGTATATGCCCAAAGGATTGTAAATCATTCTACTATAAAGGCACGTGCACATGTATATTTATTGCAGCCCTGTTCACAATAGCAAAGACTTGGAACCAACCCAAATGTCCATTAATGACAGACTGGATAAAGAAAATGTGGTACATACACACTATGGAATACTTATCCAGCCATAAAAAAACGATGAATATGAGTTCATGTTCTTTGCAGGGACATGGTTGAAGCTGGAAGCCATCACCTCAGCAAACTAACACAGGAGCAGAAAACCAAACACCATGTGTTCTCACTCATAAGTGGGAGTTGAACAATGGGAACACATGGACACAGGAAGGGGAACATCACACACCAGGGTCTGTTGGGAGTTGGGGAGCAAGGGGAGATAGAGCATTAGGACAAATACCTAATGCAAACGGGGCTTAATGCCTAGATAATGGGTTGATAGATGCAGCAAACCACCGTGGCACATGTATACCTGTGTAAAACAAACCTGCGTATTCTGTACATGTGTCCCTGAACTTAAAAATAAGTAAATAAATAAATAGCTCAACAGAGGGTGGCTCATGTTCTTAATGCATTAGTAATTCATACTGTGGTGTGAAAGAATCCCTAAAGCCACTTACTTGAATGGGTGTGGGGTGGAGGACAGGTGACAGAAACAGCGTGAAGCATCCCCACAGTTTGATTTCAAATCACCTAATCCTCAATAAAATGAAGTAGGCTACTACTGATTTACTCTGGGTCCTATGTCAGTCCTTTCCACTAACTGGGCCTCAATTTCCCAAGTGAGATTTTCTGAAGTGTATGCTTCTTGAGACGGTGATCCCATAAGTATAATCATATAAGCTTGTCAAAGCTTCGGAGGAGACTTGAGGTAAAAATGCCTGATAAAATTTGTGTTCCAGAATGCATCTGACTTTAGCAACTTTTTAAAAAATTGGTGACTTTGATTCTGAAGACAAACCTTGAGGAAATGGTAAATTACTTGATCTATAACATCCCTTCTGTCTGATTTGCTCCATGGACCTATGAGAGTACCGGTGCTCAACACAGAGTCAGGTCTACCAAAAGACTAACCCTCCAACCTCCTCTCCCAGGGAGACCCAGCTGCCAAGTGTGATTACTCAAAATCCCAGAGATGAAGCCTTAAAAATGTCAGTGGCTTCTCAGCATCAATTAGACACTTGGCTGCCTGCCAGGATCCCATGCCGGCTGATATTTGGGCTGGGTAAACAATTTAACCTGGGCCTTACCTCACTGAAGACCCATATTACCTGTTTCTCCCACTAAGGGCACTCTTGTGTTTCTACAGGGGTTGGACGAGGCTAGGATCTGATCACAGCAAGAGAAAGAGCTGTCAGTAACCTTTTGCTTTCCTCTCTTCCTCCTTAGCCTTGCTGCTTCTAAGGAGGCTGAAGCTGCCCGCTCTGCACCCAAGCCTATGTCACCCTCGGATTTCCTGGATAAGCTAATGGGGAGAACCTCTGGATATGATGCCAGGATCAGGCCCAATTTTAAAGGTAGAGAAAACCTTCCTTCCAGACCCACAGGGAAATGCTTTCCCAGATTACAGCAGCAAGCAGAATGGTATTACACACAGACGGTAAATACACGATATGAATCCCATGACTCTTTCCTCTACCCAAGGCAGACATTCTTAATCAGGTCAGTCTTCTCTCCCACCAAGCCCAGAAAAAGCCTTAGAGGATTCAATTTAATAGCACCTCTGGTTTGCAGGAGTCCAGAAGTGAATTAAAAACTTTCTGCTACCTCTTGTATAATAGGAAGAAGGATAAACATGGAATGTGGAGAAATGGGTTCAAGTTTGGGCTCAGGCACAAACTTACTCTCTGAGCTTAGATGGTGAGCCTCTCCCTTTCTTTGAGACTTAGTTTCTTCATCTGTGCAGTGATGCGCTTGGATACTTCAGCAGCCTTTAGGCATATGCTTCACAGAGCTTTCAGACTTCCAGCAGATGCCCCCAAAGGAGAAGCAGAGGGCATGATGAGCAAGCCCACCCTGCTTCTCCCCAAGCAGCCCACCTTTTACTTTCGATAAATGGCTCCCAACAAAAATGCATCAGCTGAAAGTTTCCCACGGGCTAACAAATAATGTTGAAAATGTTTATTCTAAATCAGAGTCATCATTTCAAATCCCTCCCAGGGTTGGGTAGATAAATGAGTGAGGCAAACCAAGACTAAGACAATAGGGAGTGGTGGAGACTATGAAGAAATAGAGGTACTGGCTCCTCTGCAGGGGCAGCCTCTCCTTAGCCCCAGCCTGCAGTTGCCCTGCAGAAATGTAAGCCGCATGTTGCCAGAGTATCAAATATTCCAAGAAAAGCCAGATATCGAGATCTATGTGAGACCTCCTAATTCCTAAAACATGTAAATTAAAACAAAATGTGTTTGTGACCCACATATGCCCTGTGGGTAGCCAATTTACAAACTCTACTCCAGGTGACCTGAAACTTTTTTTTACCTCTCATAATCCTTTGGGAACTTAATCAATGTCTATAACCAAGAGACTAGTTCCCTTTGGTCACTGATGCCTTAGGAGGTTGCAGCTATCTCAAACTGCCAAGCAGAATCCAGCAGGTGCAATCTTAAGGACTTCCTTGGGAGCCTGTAAACTCTGACCTTCCTCCTGGCACCCTTGCAAAAATCTTATTTCAAGGACCTGCAGTCAGCCTCCTAGACAAGACTTGATTTCAGGTGCCTTTCCTCACTGTTCCTTTTGGCTCAAGTCCAGGACCAAACAAGGTATGTGACAGCTGGTAACAGCTTCCTAATATTTGCTCACTTTGTCCTCTGCTCTCAAGTCCCCTTCTCAGAGTGCTTGCTCCGCACAGCTCTGCAAATAGAAAACGTTCTGGGAGATGCACCCAGGTCTCTGTTTGGGCCCACTCTCCACCCGTTTACCTCGTGGCTCCTTCACTCCCCCCTGGACCTTGCTCCCGAGGCCATAGCTTCCAGCATTGTGAGCATAACCTTGGTTACCCCAAGGATAGGTAAGTCAAGAAAGAACAAGGTTGCTGCCCCAGCACACTCAGCTCAGGCCTTCACCAGGGTCACAATCTCAAAAACCTAGAGGGGCAAGACAACGATAGAATATTAATGAAGCAGGATGGAGAGAAGAAAATAAAACCCGAAAACACGGGTCTCATCTAAGGGCAGCCACTTCTCAGCTCTTGTTGATGGCTGTCAGGCAGGAATGCAGACCCTGTACAGCCAGGCCTTCCAAGAAAAGACTTAAGTCTAAGGTTTTATCTGAAATCTTGCAAACTGACAACTAAATCACCTCTTTTAAAAACACTGTCAGCCAAATCCAACACTTTCAAGAACCGGTTAGGGCCCTTGGCAACCAGGTTGCATCCTCTGTCCCTCGCTGTTTTTAGGCGTCCCGGTCCCCCGCGCCCCCTGGTGGACTCTCTCAGAACTCCATCCTGAGTAGAGGCTGCATGGTCTTACTTTCCTAAAAAAGGAGGAACTCATTCATGTGTTGAATGTGGGTTCATCCAGGGTTTATATGTTAGTTATTCTTTGTGCATGCCACTGTACTTGACACATAGAAAAGCCTTCATAAATGAATGAGTGAATGAATCAATAAATAATCCCACAAATATGCTAGGGCTTAGAACAGTTAAGTGACTTAAGTCATGCTGTCAAGACCAGAGACTTTAACCCAGTTATTCTAACTTAATTCTTTGTCTAATAATAACGATTTATTTATTTGTTTGCGTATTTATTTATGTACTTTACTTATTTACTTACTTAGCAATGGACATTTTTAAGAAATAAAATTTTGCCCTGACCACTGAATCAGGGCGCTTCCAACCTTCCCACTCTGAGAACCTTGGGCCCAATATCCACAGAAATAGATCATCTTTTAGGCCCCTCCTAACACTGCACTAGCCTTAACCCCTCTGACTCCGCACCTGACTGGGAATGAGGTGCAGCTTCCTGGAGCCTCACTGTAGGAGCTGAGAAGTTTTCTCTGCCCTCTTTTGTGCTGAGGCCTGAAAAATTTCCAAGAGGATTTTATGCCCTCAGCCCTTTGATGCCTTTCATGCTTCCACCCAGACACAAATCAGGTTCCCCCAAACTCCATTCAAACCATAGAGCTCCTCAAAAGGCCATTGAGGATCAGGCCCCCTGTGACTCCAACCCGACAGAAGAGGGCTGCATTGTTTAAAAACTCTACGAAGGGATCCGTCACTCAGTAGCTGCCTTAAGTGCTAGAAATTTTCCGTGCTCCTGCCCCTCATGAAAACACAGGTAGCAAGGAAAAGCAACCACAGTCTGCAGAGTGCAATGGCACAGAAACTGTGACATGGAAATAAAGGGCACTAGGACAGCACTCCAGGTCTCCCTCTACTTACCTAGCAGGCATGGCCCCACTTGAGTCACTTACTGTATCTCGGCCTCTGTTTCTCCACCTGTAAAATGATCCAGCAGAACTAGGCCATTCCAGCTCTGCTAGTGTTTTCCATATGATTTTGTGTATTATAATGGCTCCTAGGATCAGGGGCACAGCCCAATGCAAATACATATACAATAGCAAAATTAAACTTTAATATTTAATGAAATATATACATTATCCTGCTGCCAAAGGCAGCTGGATTGTAATTTTCTCAAGGATGATTTAATTTCAGATTTATTTCAACGAACCACACCTCCCCATAGGATCCTTCTGGCCTGCACCCCCTCACACACATAAATCAGAATCTAATTTATATGGAAGTCACACTGCCAGATACTTGCAGGGACTGGGTGAGAACTCTGTGCACGTCATTCCAAGGCATAGGCAGTAACTCCTTGGGGTATCTTAATGGTGTGAGGCAAAAAACAAACAAACAAACAGGTCTGAGTCTAAATGAAGGAGAAAAATTCTGACCATTCAGGTTTTTTCCACCTGACCTTTGTTTAGATGGAAGTGACAAGGAGGCAGACCTCTGCTCAGCACATGGAAAAATACATTTAGCAGACAGAGCTCTCCAACTATGGAAAGGGTTGCTCAAGACAAAATGAGTTTCCCACTGCTGGAAGTATTCAGGCACTCAGCCTTGAATGGGTATTCAGTCTACAGCAGTGGTGCCTAAACCTGGCTGTGCATGAGACTCACCCAGGTAGCTCTCTGAACACTCGACTCTTGGGCTAACCACCAGAGATTTGGTTTCACTGAGTGTGGGGTTGGGCCAAAGAATCTGTAATTTAACAAGTTCCCAGATGATTCTCCTGCAGATAACCCTGTCTGCACTACAGTTTGGGAAGAAATTGATGAGGTGAGCTTTAAGAAACCTTCCAGCCCTGAAATCTTATAACCCTGAAATGCAAATGGATAGCTTCTATAAAGGAATTCCAAACCACTGAAGCTGAGAATGACTACCTAGAACAAGAGCTATTCTCTCTCCAGATTGATGAGGAAATTGAGACCCAGGACAGAGAAAGGGCATTGCCAAAGTCAAACAACCAGTGAGTACTAGAGTTATGTCTAAAACCCAGAGGTCCTGATAATCCCTTGAAGGAAAAACGTAGATTCTCACCCCAAGACTAAGTCCTCTCCTATATGCCAAGACTTCTGATCTTAGCTTAGTTTGAGCAAAATGCCTAGGCTACTCTTTCAAGAGGGACAGAATGCAATGGGTGCTAGAGGGCATAAGGACATAGCTACTTTCTTCTTTCCACAATCAGAAAACTTTGGTTCAAGTCCTGGTTCTACCACTTGTTAGTTGAATGAAACTGGGTGAGTTACCAAAACTCTTGGTGCTACCTTTGTCAAGTAGGAACAAGCATTCTGCCCTGCCTACCTCAGTACCTCATGGGAATCAAGAAAATGAATCTGAAAAGAAAATCACAAATTGCAAATGACAATCTTCATGTGAAAGGTTGTGACCTTTGAACCACGTCCTATTCATCTTCAAAGTCACCTCCAGGTCATCACCTTTCTGAGGTCTTTCCTGCTTCATTCTCCAGAGCCTCTCTCACTTGATGCTTTTACCACTCTTACCCATGGCCTTGCATTTCCCTTTGGTTATTTTCTGTCAGCCCTTTTTGTCAGCTTATTTGAAAACCCAGTACTGAAAATTCTGGACTCTGCCACTGTCTCTGCTTCCTTCCTCTGAGCCTGTTTCCTACAGAATAGCCATTCAGATGAGCACCCTTGGAGTTAGACAAATCTGAACCCAAACTCTGGCTCGCGCATTTGCTAGTTATGTAACCATGAACAAATAACCTCTCTGAGCCTCTGTTTTCTCACCTGTAAAATGAAGGTAACAACCCTACCTTCTCCTGGAGTTGTTGAGAGGATGAAATGACCTTAATAATATTCTCAGCACAGCAGTAACCCCTATAATGTTTAGTAAATGGCAACTGCTATAATTAATAGTATAAAGTGAAGAGATTGGGCTTCAATGAGACAACATTTCCTCCAGCAATGAGATAGCAAAGCAGTGAATAATCCTCCATTTCTGTCCCATGCTTTGTAGTAGGATTCAAAAAACTTGCTCAGAAAGTATTTAACAAAGTCTATAGACTTCCCCTGAGGTTCCTTCTGATTCCTCAGCTGGTAATTCCCATCAGTGCCTTTCAGACAATCATTCTTGGTTCATAAGTTCAAGGCAAGGAACTTGCTGTTCCTTGTGATTCCCAAGATGGCCTCCAAATGTTGTAGCCATAAATATATTTCAGCCACAAATTAGAAGGCAACCGATGGGACTTGGGAAAGGAATTTCAACCATATGGCAGGATGATGAATCATCCTGTGTTAATGAAAGTACATCTCAGCTCAGCCTCTGGTGTTCTGTACCTGGTGCTCACTTGGGGACCAGGAAATCTGGCACAGAGATGTTAAATGGTGGCTGGGAATTCCAAGTGGGGGTGGGGTAGAGAGCAAGCAAGGATCTCCTCCACCAAGGGCAATCTATTCCAAAAGTCAGTGTTCTAGGAATGGGTCCTAACCTCTGGGTTCTTCCATCACCATGGGACTAAGCAGGAATCTCTCTTGATTGGCAGGTCCCCCAGTGAATGTGAGCTGCAACATTTTCATCAACAGCTTTGGTTCCATTGCTGAGACAACCATGGTGAGTAAGTCAAAACACAAGCTGTTAGTTTCTACTGGGGATATCTCTCCATGAAATATTTATCCTCTGCATTGGTTTCCACCAAGGAGGAGGGGAATCAGCTGGGTTTTTTTCAAGTCCCCAGTGGTATCATGAGGCTCGATGTCTTTACTGTCACACTAAATGTTTTCAGTAAAGATATAACATCTGAAAATGGTTAAAGAGCTAGCAAGCAAGCACCTGCCAAACACCCAGGATTACAGAAATAAAATTATCCAACAAGTCAAATTTTTAGAGCAAAAGAAAATGTGAAGACCTGTTTTTAAGTTTAACATTCAACTGCAGAATGGCAGAAGACTGCTGGTTATAGAAGCTGAAATGGGTATATTGGTCTAATTGCATATTTCCTCTACTATTGAATACATGTAAAACTTTTCACAGTAAAAAAGTTTAAAATAAATCAATTACACTAGAAGAAATGCCAAAAAAAGATACCAAAATTGGAACTGTGATTATCTCTGCATTATAAACTTATGAATAATTTTTATTTTCTTCCCACAGTATTTATATATTTTTCAAATTTCTGTAAGGGATGAATATTACATTAATAATTATAAATAAATATAATGATACTTTAAAATATTTATCAGCCTTTTTTTGTTTTTCAACAGAAAACAAATTATACTTATGTTAAGGAAGTGATCTACCTTGTGAAAAAATAATCAGGGCAGCCTACAGTTAACTGTAACCTATCCATTTCCGGACATCCACCTGCCCCTAATCTAGTTCAGGCTTCCATTGTGGCTTGCTTACATGACTGCAAAGGGTTCTCATTGGCTTCCAGCTGGCCCCCTTCCAGTCTACTTTTTCCCACACTGGCCTTTCCAGAACACAAATCTAACCACAGCGCTGCCACAATTTAAACCCTCCTTACAGCTCCCCATCACCCTCAACGTTAAACCCAAATTCTTTTGCAAAGATGAGGAGGCTCCCTGTGATTCACCCTGCGTCATATCTTCCCTCTCCCACCGCATACTCTAGCTGCACTGATTGCTTACAGCTCTCCATCCAGGTTGTCTCTCCCTCCCTGCTTTACAGGTTTCTGGGGATTGCTGCTAGGCCGCTGCCTGGAGCACCCACTCCAGCCTTCTTTCCCTTGCCAATTCCTATTGTCCTTTAAGACTCAGCTTAGAATTATTCTCATAGAAAGCCTCCCCACTCTAACATGTGTGTACGTGTGTGTGAGTTCAAGTGTGCACTTCACCTGAGGCTGGGATGAGTTCCTTCTGTCCATTCTGTTGACACATTTTACAATTTCCAAAACAGCACTTGCCACTTACAGTTACCACTGTACCAGCCTGCTTATGTGTCCCTCCTGTCACTGTACTGTAAGTTCTTCGTGTGCTGGTACCTTGTCTCGTTTCCTGTGGGAACCTCAGCAGCTAGTGATTCAATAACAGAGAGTCAACAGCTTTTTAAATAAATAAACCAAATCAATTATATTGCTTATCAGTTAAAACCAGTATTTGGTCCTAAGCATTTATGGAGATTACATCCAACCTTTCAGTCCCAGGCTGGCAAAAATCACTGAGTTTTGTAGGTGAGGTTGCAAATGGTCTAAAAGCTGTTCTTTGCAAACAGGCCTGTCTTGATCTGGTCAAGAAGACTGTGCCCAGATTCAGAGGACAAATGGTGAAACTCCCTAAAGTAACAGGCCTCTTATCTCCAAATGGAGATGGCCCTACTTGCTAGCTAGGAGCAAACACAGGTGCTTTGCACTGGGTATCCAGGTGAAATAAATAGCCAAGTTCTTTTCACCTTTGAATGGATGTCTTACAAGCACTCTTAATGAGCCCCTGTGCTTTTCTTCCCCTCCTCCAAGATCAGAAGCATGTTGACATTTGTATTCATCATAATCTGTACAGTGAGTGTTGACACTGCCACTCTTTCCTCAATGGTAAATGGTTATCAAGCCAAGTCAGGGAGTGGACTACCTGGTTCTGTAAAGGACCTGGCTATTTGAGGATAGGCACACATATCTGCACTTGTTTCCCTGTAGTGACCAACAGAGACCTAATTTCTTCATACAGATTCCTAAAAAAGAAAGTTAGAGCCCTGCTTCATGTAATGGTTAAAAGCTCAGCTCTGGAGTCACATACACTGAGCTCACTATCTGTGAGGAGCTAATTTCCTTCATATCTTTAAGCCTCAGTTTCTTCATCTGTAAAATCCCAATGGTAATTAACAAACTGATATAATTAAGTTATTATGTGTAGTATGCAGAGAAAAATGGTTTTTTGTTTTGTTTTGTTTTAAGACAGAGGCTCACTCTGTAGCCCAGCCTGGAGTGCAGTGGCATGATCCTCACTCACTGCAAACTCTGCCTCCTGGATTCAAGAGATTCTTATGCCTCAGCCTCCCAAGTAGCTGGGATTGCATACATGCACCACCAGGCCCAGCTAATTTTTGTATTTTTAGTAGAGAGGGGGTTTCGCCATATCATCCAGGCTGGTCTCGAACTCCTGGCCTCATGTGATCCACCCACCTTATCCTCCCAAAGTGCTGGGATTACAGGCGTGAGCCACCAGCCTAGAAAAATGTTTTTCATTGTACCTGCTTTGTAAATGTTCACTAAACATTTTTTATGATGGCAATGATGATCGAGACTCTGGACACTGAAGCCCCAATATTATCACTGATGATTTGCTGTGCAATCTTGAGCAATCCTTAGCCTTCTCTGAGGCTTGGTTTCTTCCTCCTCTCCTCTCCACCCCCACCCCCACAACCCTCATCCCCTACTTCCCACCCCACATCTTCTGACTACCTTTTTAGACTTCACTTCTGCTGCATTTTGCTTTCTACAGAAACAGTGTAGCAGAGTAATTAGATAGAGTCTTCAATGCCCAGACAAAATCTGAGGCTCAGCTCTGTGATCTTGGCCAAGGTATTTAAGTTGGCTTTCTCATCTGTTGAAAATAGGGATGCCCATAGCATTCACCTTGTGGCCTGCTGTGAGTATTAAGAGATAAAGCATGGAAACTGCAAAACGCAGCGCCTGACGCAAAGTGCACATGCAATGATGCCAGCTATTGTTACATGCATTTATAATTTTCAGCACATTTTCACATTCACTCTCTCATGTGATTCCTTCACCAAATGTTCAGTCTTACAATGGCTCTGTAAAGTAGGCATACTATGTTCCCCATTGCACAGCTGAGAAAATGGAGATTTGTACAGATCATATCACAAAGCTTGTTAGTGACTGTGCAAGGGTTAAGATCCAATTCTCATATCCCACAGACAAGTGTTTATTCTGTGCCACACTGCTATAACTCCAAAGAACACAGACTAAAAAACTTGGAGGACCAGGACCTACAAAGTACACATAAGCAACAGTCTAAGTGCTATCAAAAGTGGAAATCCAACCCAATAGCATGCCATGCCCAGCTCCCCTCAAGAGAAAATAGTAACTAACAATAATGGAGATAATCAACAAGCAACCCCAGAGGAGATGGCCCCCTGGAGAACTAAATAATCTTCAGACAGGAAATGAAGGATCAGCTATGATGTGCTGCCTTGAGGATAGACCACAAATGATGTAGTTTTCTTCCTATTTATTAAAGTTAATCCCAAGTAGGGCAGGGAGTGCTATTTCCAAGCTTGTACATTTCATAATATAGTAATATCTCATTTAACAACACCAATAGATTCTTAGAATCTGCAGCTTTCAACAAAATGACTACAACACAAACAATTTTATTTCTCATCAACATTATAACAAAACAACATTATTCAATAAACTGCTAAATGTCATTTCACTTAACCTCTGTTCCCAATAACCTATCGATGATGTTAAATGAAGACTTATGTACTGTGATTTTTTTTTCCACTAGCTTCTTAATTATTTGTGTGTTTAACTTACTTTGCCGATGCTATAGGGAGAAAAGTCTCAGATCTAAAAAATATATATAGAGAGAGAGAGAGAGAAATTGCCTAGTTCAGCTCCCCATTTTCTGGAGAGAGATCTGGTGGTTAGAATGGTAAGGTCACTTGAGCAAAGTCACACAGCATGAAATAAGTGTGAAAGAAACAGAGGTCTGTTGCTCTCTGCAGTGGTCAAAGATTCCCCTCCCTTCAGCTTCCTTCCCCTCTAGATTCCAACAACCAAAACTTTCGGGCCACTTTCCCATTCGAGCCTCTTTCCTTATTACTCAGTGTCTTTAGGAAACTGGTATTAGTGTAATAACAAGAAAAACAACTTGTTCTTGAAGAACTTATTGTATGCTACTACATATCAGGCAGAGAACAGACCAGTCTGGTATCTGTCACCTAATTTAGGCTTGATAACAACCCCCATACAGTGGGAAGGGTTATCTCCAGTTCACAGATGAGAAAGCTGAGGATCAGAAAATTTAGGTTATTTTCCTAAGGACACACAGCTAATAAGTAGCAAGGGTAGAAATTCAACTCAGTGCATGGTCTCCTAAGCAAAATGTAAATATTTAATTCCTGGATGTTTGGGGACTACCCACCCCTTGCTTGTCCCCTTTTATCACAGAGAATTAGAGCAAAAGAGAACTTCAGCTTGAACAGAGAAACTGGAGGCTAGAAAGAGGATTGCACTTGCCCATGGACACACACACACAGCTAATTAGTGGCACAGTCAGCCCAAGCTCCCTGATTTTCAGCCCAGAATCTGCCTCTCCAACCCCACAAAGAGCTGGTTGTGCACCATGGGTCCAAGGTAATATGGACATAGTCCTGGTGTCAGAAACTTTCCAGGCTGTGTTTGTTCTCCAGAAACAGCAGGAGTGCATAGCATCTCTATAAACAGCTGGAGTCCCCAGGCCTAACTGCCTGCCTCCCAGGACCTGGCTTTATTCACCGAAACTAACAGACCTGAGAACAGAGAGGCAGCCAGCAAAGCAACAGGGGTCTCTATCCAGTCCTGACAAGGGGAAGGCTGAGACCGCCTGTCCTTTAACTAACCTTTTCCAGGACTCTCTTTGAGTCTGTGCAGC